AAAATTCACCATGTGTGGTAACGCGCACCTGTAGTTCTGGCTACTTGAAAGGCTGAGGAGGAAGGATGCTGGGATGGCGGCGAGTGTGACACTGCACTCCAACCTGGCAACAGAGTGAGACTTCAACTCAAAAAAAGAAAAAGAAAATCACTGAAGCCAAATGCAGTCTCAACAATGTGAGCTGGTGCACTGATGACGATGGGTTCCTAGAACACTTACCTATGGGGGAAGCCTGTACAAGCGGTCAACCTTCCCCCCACCAAAAAAAATCCAGTTTTTTGAGGGGCCTCCCTCATGTCTTGGAAAAGATTTGTACTAAAAGGAAAATCATGTCTTTAATATATGGTTAACACATATAGCCAATAAAAATAAGCTTCTTAGAGACATCAACAATCTGATCACACACACACACACACATACACACACACACACACACGGTAATAGAAGATGTTTACATGAACTAATTGGCTTTTTTGTTATTGTTTTAGAGACAGGGGCCCCTCTCTTGCCCAGACTGGAGAGCAGTAGAGTGATCATAGCTCACTACAGCCTGGAACTCCTGAGCTCAAGCAATCCTCCCACCTTAGCCTCACACTCCCTTCTCTCCCCCAGTAGCAGGGACTACAGGCACGAACCACCACACCTGCTAATTTAAAAAATTTTTTTTAGAAACAGTCTCACTATTAATCAGGTTGGTCTCAAACTCCTTGCCATAAGAGATCCTTCTGCTTCAGCTTCCCAAGTAGACGGGATTACAGGTGCGAGCCACTGCACCTGGCTATAACTGAGCTTATTAGGTCAGCATAAAAGGATAAGAATATATCACAATCAGAAATACAAAAACAGAGAAAACAAAGTACCAAATCCTAATAAATAAATAAATAAACAAACAAATAAATAAACAGAAAGTCTTTTTCTGGTGTTTTTCAACTGAAGAGCATTACAATGCTCTTGCCTTACTAAAGAGAGTTCTCAGACAAGGATTAATTGGAGCTGAGCAGCAGGCTGACCACACCATTGCCTGAGGCAGCTTTTCACCAGACTGTCTGAGAGTGAGTGTGCCTGGCACAGCTGTCCTTGGTGACTAATACTGTAAAATAATGCATGCACTGTTCCAAACTCATTTTTAAAATATAGGACTCATAATCACTTCCTGAAAAAGAAATTGGTAAAGCCTTTCCTAGTTCTTGCCAAATGTTTGATAACTTTGTGACAATAAAAAACATGCTATATAACAAGGATCACCAGCAACTACTTCAGTATTTTTCTCTGAGCTGGTTTTCAGGATGTTCCTCCTCAAAGCCACAGAACGGTTCCTTCCATGAGGAAGTTTCTCAGGTGCACACAGCCACCGATTCCTTGACCAGAGATTCATCATCACCAGTGTGTGATATCCTTTTTATTCAGGTAAAATCTGACTCCAACACTATAAAATCAACCAAACTTCTCCAAAATGTCAGCATGTAATGGGGTTCTAAATTTTGAAGAATCAGAGTTCCAAACAGCAAAATTATATGAAAATCGGAATCCTATCACAACATACAGCAATTACTTTAGGTGAGTCTGGCAGGCACAGGCATTTGTGAAACTGGGTGCTTCTGAATGTTCTGTGGTCCCTATAAGCTCATGTGCCTCTGGGTTTGCAATCATTCTCCCTTTCTTGATTCTCATATGCTTGTCTGCTTCAAGTTTCTCAAGAGAAAGAAATACAAGGGATGTGACAGTGGTGGTGACAATACAGCTGCTATGGAGATGACAGAGGGCCCTGCCCAGAGAGGCTAGCACCAGAAGAAAACCATGTGGTCGTGGTATGGCTTGGAGGTGAGGCAGGCCCCTCTATTGGTAATAAAGTTTGAGCTCTTTTGGATATACAAACATGCATCAATTAATAATGAGGATACGTTCTAAGAAACACATCATCAGGCGATTCCATTGTTGTGAACACCATGGAGTATACTCACACAAACCTAGATGGTGTGGCCTGCTGCACATGAGGCTATATGGTACAGGCTACAACCCTGCACAGCATGTGACTGTACTGATTATTACAGGCAACTGTAATACGGTGGTCAGTATTTGTGTACCTAACCAGCTCTGAACACAGAAAAAATACAGGAGACACAAGATAGTACACAAAATAGTACAAGCATCATGATAGGACACTTATCATGAATGGAGCTTGCAGGACTGGAAAATTGCTCTGGGTGAGTCAGTGAGTGATGGTGAGTGAATGTGAAGGCCTAGCACATTACTGTCCACCACTGAGACCGTATAAACCCTGTATACTTAGGCTACACTAAGTTATAAAACAGTATTTTTCTTTTTTCAATAATAAATTAATCTCAGCTTACTGGAACTTCATTACTTTATAAACTTTTCAATTTCTAAAACTTGATTCTTTTGTAATAACTTAGCTTAAAACACAAATATTTCTTCTTCATATCTTTAGTCTATAAGCTTTGTTCTATTATAAACATTTTTTATTAATTCTTTTAAGCTCTTTTGTTAACAACTAAGACACACACATTTGCCTAGGCCTACACAGGTCAGGATCAATATCACTGTTTTCCACCTCCATATCTTGTCCCACTGGAAGGTCTACAAGGGCAATGACATGCATGGAACAGTCATCTTCTATGACAGTGATGCCTTCCTCTGGGAATATTTCCTGTAGGACATACCTGAAGCTGCTTTACAGTTAACTTTCTTCTTTTTTTTAATAAGTAAGGCTACCCTCCAAAAAAATAATTAAAAGTATGGTCAATGTCAGTTACAGTAGTTTACTATCAAGTATTAAATACCATACATGATTGTATGTGTCACACTTTTATAAAACAGGCAGCACAGGTTTGTTTATACCAGTGACACCACAAAAGTGGGTAATATGTTATGATGGCTGCAATGTCACTAGGCAAAAAGAATTTTTCAGGTTCATTATAATCTTATGATACCAGCATCACGTATGTGGTTGATCTTAACTGCAATGTTATGGTGAGGCATCTCTGTGCTATTACTGCCAAAAGAGAAAATGGCTTCTTGTTTGGGAATAAGACAGTGAGGTGGAGCGTTTTGGACTCAAACAAACTGGGGTTTGAGTTCTGGCTGAGTAGCCATGAACTTCCTAGGACAAGTTACTAAAACTCCTGACGCATTTTTCTCTTCCATTAATGAAGAATAACATTTTTAGAATAGGGTTTAATTAAAAAACAAAAAACAAAATATCCTATGGAGATCAGAAGAAATAACACATGACAAAGTCAAGCACTCAGGTGGCATTTGTTCCAGCTCCCCTCCCTTTCTCTGAGTAATGACTGAAAGTTCCCTGGTCATGCTAAATCTGAAGACTCATTTCACTCCATCACTGGACTTTTCTAGAGAAAAGAGCACTATGCTTTCGTGAATGGGAGAATGATAGCACTTTAGAGGCCCTCACAGGCAAACACGGAGAGACTGCCACTTCACAGAAAACCGTAAGCTGCTACCTCAAGGCCTGAAACTTGTCTTTGGTGACGACCTACAGCCATTGCTTCTGGGCAGGGCAGCTCTGTGCTGGGGACTGTGAGGTGACAGTGCTGCAGCACACTACAGGCACGGTTATAAGACACAGTGACAACTGCTATGTGTAGACAATGGTAGCAGTACTTTTCATATACAGTCTTATTTAATCCTCTCAATGATCCTCTGAGGCAGGCATTTTGTAGTCCCTATGTTACAAATGAGGAAACCGAGGCAGAGATAAGTTAATCATCTCCCACTCAAAAGTAATGGGGTGAGATTTCAGCCTATGTTGTGGCTTTTGACCACACATCCAACCTCGAGGAGACAAATTTCTCATAGACGTCCACATTTGCAGCTCTACTTCAAGAAGGCCACTTAGTGGTCATGGGGCAAGCTATGCCTCTTGTCCTTTTCTCACTCCAAGGAGGCATTCAGGAAACTGGTGACGCTTTATCAGAGTCAGTCAATATTATTACATTTACCCTACCAAATAAATTCATAAAAAAGAATGCTCTGTTTTCATACACAGGTAGGTTTATCTTCTGTGACAACATCTTTCAGAGATCCTCAGCCTGTTAAAAATCACTGCTGATAACCTCTTCATTCCTTGCAACTTTATGTCACCTGACTGGTCTGTATCTTTCAAACTTGGGAAGTTCGTAGTCTATTTAAGCAACAAGTAGAAGAAGAGAAGATAAGAATCTAGCACCTTAGAAATGTGCAGAAAGGCAGTTGAAAGAAAATCATTCTGAGAGTTAAATACTCCAAAAAACCGCTCATCAATTCATATCCCCTAAGGACTTGGGTTCTCAAGTCACAGTTCTGCCAAATTCCCAGGATGAGAGCCACCTGCTCTGACATGTATCTTTAAACACATGAGAAGAGGTAGGCCGTAAAACTGTCCCATAAGCCAGAACAATCTTTGGAGTGGTTCTAGAAATAGCACAGCTCTGCAAGGTGTCCTCGAACAATTGTTTTCCTCAGAATGGAGACAAATTGTATCAGAAAGGAGTCGCTGAGAGATGACAACAGGTGGCCATGCTAATTGAAACCTGACAGAAAAGCATGTTAAAAACTCCTCCCTTGGTGAGGAGGTTGTGAGAAGCAGTCATGTGGAGTTCTCTGTGAGAAAAGTACGAAGATTACAACTCTGGGAAGATGCCTTTCAAAAGGGAGCAAAACAGTGATATGCCAGAAGCACTTCAGAGGACTCAAATTTAACATGTAATCACACTGAGAGGTTCACAGATCTAATTAATGTTTAAAACTTGGAGAGTTCTCACAATAATAGCATGGCTGAAGAGAAGTATGATCTTGCACGCTAGGCTCTCTTTTTTATCTAGTAACATATTCCAGAGAAATTAAAAGTAGGATTCTAATTGTCTTTATTTTTACTCTACCTAGTTCTGGAAAGAGCTTTCAGTGCTGTGCAATGCCCACACGCCTGCTCCAGATGCTTGATCCAGCAGCCTGCTGCTTGCAGAGCTATGTCACCCACTCACCTGAGTACCACGGTCGTTGACTAGTTCCACAGACCACCTGCCTTCATACTGAATCCACACAAATATTCCTCCATCTGCGTCACATGTAGCCAGTTTCTGGTATGGCTCATTCCATCTCACCAGCACAACCTAGAAAACCACCAAGAAGATATTTATCACCGGAAATAAACCATTGGGCCAGGATGATTTCTATGAAATGATCAGACTTCATGAACTTAGTTAGAATGCAGTTGGTCTAAGGAGAAGATTAGGGGAGAACGCAAGGGTCGTGGAAGGGGCTGGGCAGAGCCCACACACAGCAGTCCCATGGGAACCAGATCCTCTGACCTGGCTTCCTGATGTCCAGTCAAATACAATACGAACATGCCCACCTCTATAAAAATAAAAAGGGGACCCAGAGCCCATCAGTACCCAGCACTTGCCTCCCAGATGATTCTTTATCTGCAGATCCTGTATTATGGAGAAACTACTTTAACAAAATTTACTATGTATTTGAATCAGGTCATTATTTATTTAGTACAGAAAGAAGAAAGGATGAGTACTATTTTGTTTTTTTTTTCAGTTGGAGTCTCACTCTGTCACCCAGACTGGAGTGCAGTGACCACTCCCAGCCACCGCAGCCTCAACCTGCTGGGCTCTGGCGATCCTTCCGCCTCAGCCTTCCAAGTAGCCAGAATTATAGGCATGTGCTACCACGCCCAGCTGCTTTTTGGTTTATTGTAGAGATGAGGTCTCGCCTGCCCCGCGGGCTCAGGCAATCCACTCACCTCAGCCTCCCAAAGGCACGGAATTACAGGCTGAGCCACCGAGCCCGGCTGATGAGTACTATTTAATTTCACTATCCTCCTGAATGTTCTATATATTTTCTGGACTATATTATTTTTCAACAGTTCAGCATCTAAGTATGGCCAATTTGGAAAAAAAATACACAATTGAAAGATCTAAACTTTTTAGTATGTATCACAGAAGAAATATGAAGAAATTATAAGCTTCAAAACTTGTGAGTGTAAGAACTTTGTTTTCAAATTTGAAAAATTCAGAATTTAGACAAATCACTTCCACTCTTTCCCAGTGATCGCTCCCCCTATCGAAAAAGGCAGAAACTCTGGTAGGTGGTTTGTAGGAATAGGTAAATCAGAGAATTCTTCGGGCAGCCCTCACAGAGCCTTACAAGTTGTCAGGGACCAAGTGTCACAGAATGGCCCCAGGACACCAGGTACCACGAAGCCAATGCCGCAAGCCTCCCAAGCCATCCCTGACTGGCCCATCCTGGTGATCATGATGAATTAACTCAACCAGACATTCAGCACACATTTATTACGGTCACGTGATGTGACTAATACTGAGTTGAAGGCCATGACATGCCCCAGCCACCCTCAGGTAAGCTCCAGCTGGGAAGTGAGATCATCCACAAATGTGTTATCTGTCATGTGTCAATAACATGAGGGCTGTTACTACTCAGCAAGAGTCCTCCTGCCATTAAAAATCAAATATTGTGTGAGACGATTGTCGGGACACCGATTCTTTCCCCCTATATGTGACTTCTTTCCTCTCTGGTCAAGGATTACACATGGTCTCTGGAGGCTTTGCATATTCCCAGAAATGAGTCATGGAATGCAGGTAACCAAGCAAAGGTGAAAGCAATGTGGCTGATGTGTAATCAATGTACATGTGAACATTGGATAGAAATTTGATTGACTTGTTTGCCTATAAAACTGTTTGCTGTACCACCCAGAGACATGGTCACCATCAGTGCCTCCTGAAAGTTCTTCTAAACCAACATCTTTCCCTGCTGAACCTCCGGTGGCTTCTTTGGAGTAAAGAGCCTTACATGCAAGCCCTCTCAGACTTGGGGTTGCTGCATCACATATGTGAATGTCTACTCCCAGCACTTTGTGCCTAATTAACTAATTATAATCATTGAGAACATGTGACACCGGAATAAATGTTTTCCAAATTCTAACTTATACTTGAAACAGAATGTGAGGTTGAAGACTGATGGTTGACTTCCATAATGCAGGGGCCACTCTCACACCATTTGTCCAGAGTACATTTCCTGCCTTCAGACCAGGCGGTACACCTGCTGCTCCTCTCAGCAATGCCTTGACACACCTGCTTTAGGTCTTTACTTGCTCCAGGGCACTAGAGAGCCCGGAGAGAACTCCAGGAAGAGCCTGACTTTGTCTGCCTTGAGCAGTCTTGGTTGCCACACTTGGTGATATTCTGCACTTGTAAAATGTATAACAAAATCTTCACATTTTCCAAAAGGAAATGATTGCCCACTTGAAATGTAAAGTATACTATAGCTCTTTTTTAAAACTCTGCAAAAATCAGAGGCAGCTGTGAGGCTGCGATCTTCTGGGACCTGGCAGTCACTAGCTACATCGAATGCAGCAGATAGCTACCACACTAAAGGCAGCTTTTGTGGCTGCGGGCAGTCACACTTCTCTGCTGGGACCTCCTCTTGTTCTGGTCACAGCCCTGCATAAGCAGTGCTTACACATCTGCTGTACTGTCAGCTTGTGCACACCATCCCGTAGGTCTATGCTGCTTGAGGAAAGGTACACAGACAAGCTCATCTTGAATAATAACACACACAATTTTGAATATACTGTGCAAACAATAACATACAATTAGAAGTTGTGATCCTTGTTAATTATATCTTTGAACTATAAAAGGTATGAAAAGCTATTTCAAGTTAGTTACTTTCAATTCCCAGAGGCATTTTAACAACAGCATACGCTGCCTGCCTACGATAAATCAGATGCTATTAGGTACCGAGGACAGAGCCCCTGAACTTTGCGGCGTTCAGTATACTAGATGGACATAAACTCCCTTTTACACATAATTATAGAGCTGTAAACACACACAGGAGGGGGCTCAACGCAGGTGAACAGGATGACAACAAATCCAGATTCACTTTTTAGTCCAGTTTTTAAAATTCTCCATTCAAATTGCTACTTTTTTTAAAAGTCAAACCAAATCAACACATGTCCTTAAATGACATTGAATATCTAATAAATTTAGAATTTCCAAATGGTCATTAAAAGTCAACTTCACAGACTTCGTTCAGACCGGACAATGATTTGGCCCCAGCATTACAATCCACAAATGTACATGAGGCTACCATTTAGTACCCCAACACACATTATTTAAGTTCACATTCATTAGTGTACTTCAGAATGGCTAGCATAGAATGGAACATGACAAACAAGAACATGATATTCATGACTGGTCAGTTTTAAAATTATTTTCTTATTTAAATGTAACACCAGTGAACATTCGTCTACTATGATCCTTAATAAAATAATATTTGATGACAAGGTATCATACTCGAGGACAGAGGCTAATCACTTCATCTATACTTTTTCCTTTTTCCTTTTAACATCCATCAACAACAAACCTGTCTGCTTCATGAAAAAACAGCCTGCATAGTCACAGCATGTCACAAACACAAAAAAAATCAGAGGAAAGAAATATTTAACTATTTCTAAAGTTGAATGAACAACTTTCTGTTCATATGACACCTTTGTTAGATAAATATAATGTTCACAGACTCAATACATCTTTTTAAAATTCACGATCAGCTTAAATGCAACAGTAAATGGAAATGTGGTCCCCATTCACACACAGCTTCTTTAAATTCCAACTAGTACAATATAACTGAATAATTAGGTAACTCCCTTAAATCAGAGGCAGAAATCTTTACAGTGAGTCCTGGTTTAAAAATAGGCAGGGCTTGGTGGCTCAACCTGTAATCCCAGCACTCAGGGGGCCAGGGCAAGTGGACTGCCTAAGCCCGCAGATTCGAAACCAGCCCAGGCAACTTGGCGAGACCTTGTCTCTACAATAAATAAAATATTAGCTGGGCGTGGTAGCGTGCGCCTGTAGTTCCAGCTACTTGGAACATTGAGGCGGTAGGATCGCCTGAGCCCAGCAGGTCAACACTGGGGTGGCCGTGAGTGTGTCACTGCACTCAAGTCTGGGCGACAGAGTAAGACTCCAATTCTAAATGAATGAATGAATGAATGAATGAATGAATGAATGAATGAATAGTGAGACTCCAATTCTAAATAAATAAATCCAAGTTGCTAATGCTGTTTCTCATTTCCTCTCCTGTCTACAATTCACAGCTGCCACCTTATCTCCCAGCAGCTCACTTCCTGTTCTCTAAATCCTTCTAGCCTATTTGGCAATGTTTGGACATACCGGAGTATTGAGGAATTACCAACCAGGAGCCAGCTTGGTTCTCGTTGCAAGAATTATACGCCAGGGTGCTACAGATCTGCCCAGCAGCCTAAGGTAGAGCTTTCCTTCCCTTTTAAAGGAAAGTGGGACTCTCGTTTACTCTGGGCACCAGAGAACTTCCATCTTGGCAAGCTAGCTGAAGTGTGTGCTCTTCGACTAAAAAGCCAGAGGAAAAGCTAAATTTTGACCTAGGCTTTTGTTTAAAAAAACAAAACAGCCTGTAACCCTCTCCAATATAAGACATGTTCAATCATTTTCTAGCATTATTGTTATCAGTAAAGCTATTAACAGTAGGGAAATCTACAGTAAAAACATAAGGCTGAACCGCTGAAAGCCTATTCATGCTGTAATCTAAGGTCCCAAATAAGACACCTCCTACACCTACAACTGTTTTTAGGGAAAGCAAAACAGTGTCAGTTAGCCCATCTCAAGGATGTTCAACTTTTGAGTCAGGACCCTTTCAAATGGTGTTGACAGATATGTTTATACAGGATGCCATCTCAGGGAACCACCAATATCACCAATGTTCAGAAAGACTTCCCTCAACTTAAATAGAATGTCATTTGAATGAACACTAAATACAAGTAACTCTAATAAGAAATCTCTGAGATTACCATCACTCAGTTCTTTTTATTCTGTGAATTAAGTGAAACATCCACAACACCAATTGTACAAGAAAAACAAAGCAATTGCCAGTTTAATTTTAGACACATTTAGTCATTTTAACAGAGAACCAGAAGCATCTTAAAATAGAAGCTGGAAGAAATTCAATGAGAACAATGGTTCTGCAGACTGCTGCCCACCAGCAATGTCACTGCAGGGACAGGTGCTAAGGAGAGTAGGCTCTGGGGTCTGGCTACCTGGCTCTGACTGCTGGCCTC